GAGGAGGGAGTGTGGCTTTTCTCAGGACCCCACCTTGGTGCCCCCACCCCCCAGAGACCCCGGGCAGGGCCGGGGTGTCCCACCTGGGCAGCCTGGAGAAGGTGGCTCCGGTACACGGCCACGGTGTCCCGGTGCTGCTTCTCCTGGACCTGGCGGGGGCACAGGGTGACACTGGGTGACTCAGAGCGACAAGAGGTTACCGAGGGTGACACCATGTGACACCGGGCGCTGTCCCCACCTCCAGCTGGAGCTGGAGCCGGGCGCTCCGGCCCCGCAGCCCCAACACCTCGGCCGAGAGTTTCTCCGTCTCCGCCAGCAGCTGCTTCAGCTGGGGGGGAAAAGTCAGGGGCAGATTTGGGGGGCTGGTTGCTCCCAGCGCCCCCCAGAGCCCCCTTGGTCCCTGTCAGCCCCCAAAATCCCCCTCAATTCCCCCCTCACTCCCCGAGGTCCCCCCAAATGGGGCTGGGAGGTGGAACAGGATGACGATAGGGATGGGAAAGGGATGATGATGGTGGAAAAAGGACTGGGAAGGGGATGGGAAGGATATGGGGATGGATATGGGAGGGAGGGGAAGATGGGAAGGGGTCGGCAGTGGGGACAAGGACGGGAGGAGGATGCTGACGGGAATGGGATGGTGCTGGGAAGGTCCCGTCCCCGTTCCCAGCCCGTTCCTCACCTTCCCGTCCTTGTCCCGGCAGGCGCGCTCCAGCCGAGCCGCCCGCTCCCGCAGCGCTGCCAGGCTGCGCTCCAGCCCCTCGGCCGTGCCCCGCAGCTCCCGCAGCTCCCGCTCCCGCCCGGCCGCCCTCGCCTCCGCCGCCGCCGCCGCCTCCCGCCACCGCTCCGCCTCCGACCCCGGGGGCTCCGCTGGGACCCCGGCGGTGCCGCGCTCCGGGCCCTGCGGAGCGCCGGCACCCACCGCCGCTCCCGGTTCTCCCGGTATCCCGCCCTCCCCGCCGCTCCCGGGGCTTTCCCCGGCCTCTCCCTCCATCTCCGTGAGGAGCTGCAGGGCCTCGTGCTGGGACCGCACCAGCGCGTCCAGCCTCCGGTGCAGGTCCCGGAGAATTCCGGCCCCGGCGTCGCCTCCCGCGTCCCGCACCCGCGCTCCCAGCCCGTCCCGCAGCACCCGCAGCTCCCGGCGCAGCCGCCAGGCCTCGTCCCGCTTCCCGGGATCCCGCAGCTCCCGCAGCTCCTGCTGCAGCCGCTCCCGCTCCCGGCCCAGCCGCGCCAGCTCCACCAGGAGCTTCCCGTTGCCCTCCCGCAGCTCCAGCAGCTCCTTCTCCATCCTCCCGGCCTCCCTCGGGATCTCCTCCCTGCCCTTCCCGCCCGAAGCCGGCTCCGTGCCGTTCCCTGCGCCCCGGCACTCTGCCGCTGGCTCCCCACGGAGCTTTTCCAGGAGGATTTGGGATCCCTGGAGTATCCTGGCATGGATCTGGTCCTGGTGCTCCAGCGCCTGCTCCAGCCCGGCCGCCAGCCGCTCCCAGGCGCTCCGACCCGCGGCCTCGTCCCGCAGGGAATCCTCCGCCTCCCGACGCAGCTCCTGGCTCCGGGAGAAGGCGCCGGCCTTTGCTTCCCGCATTTTGGAGCACTCCTCTCCCAGCCAGACCAGGAACGGGATCAGCGCCGGAGCCTCGGCGCTGCCGTGTCCTCCTTCCCACTCTTCATCCCTCGTCCTCTTCCTCAGCTCCGCCACGCGCCGGGCCAGGAGCTCCAGGCAGGCGCCGTCAGTCTCATCCTCATCCTCACCCTCATCCCGCCCCGGCAGGAGCCGCACGAGCTCCCGCAGCTGCCGCCGGATGCCCTCAGCAGCTTCCTCCAGCCGCCGGCATTCCAGAGTCTTCCTCGCCATCTCCTCCCGCAGCCGCCGAGCAGCGCGTCCGTCCCGCTCCTCCTCCTCCTCCTCCTCCTCGCCCTGGATTCCCACCTGTCCAGCACCATTCTCTGCTGGGAGGAAAAACACAATCCCGATTCCCCGATTTGTCCCTGTTTTTTCCAATTTCCCCCTGTTTTCTCCCCATTTCCCTGTACCGTGCCGGGCGTGGGTGGGGAGACAAAGCTCCACACTGGCGCTCCTGAGACAAACCAGCCTCGTTTATTACCCAGAGCTGACTGAAATCCCCAATTCCAACCTCCCGGGCCTGACACCTCTGACATTTCTGTCCCTGCCCGGCGCCCCGGCCATTCCTGCGCTTTCTGCTCAGCAGGGATGGGGCTGGCTCCCCTGGAACTGATCCAGGGATATGTTCAGCCATGAGCTGGCCCGCCCGAGCTGCATTTGTGTTTTGGTCACTTTGTCCAGCCCAGGCCAGCCGTACTGTGACAACACTGTGACATTTCCCCCCATTTTTTCCTTTTTCTGGGGGCGCTCCAGGAGGTCTCACCTCTCCTCCTGTGCTGCGGGACCTTTCCGGTGCCGTTCCCGGTGCCATTTCCTGTGCCATTCCTGGTGCCATTCCCGGTGCCATTCCCGGTGCCATTCCCAGTGTCCTTGTCCCTCTTGTGGCTCTGCAGCAGCTCGGCCACTTCCCGGCTGCCGTGAGCCAGCGCCAGCTCCAGCGCCGTCCTGAGCCGTGGGTGACACGGACGGACACGGGGACACAAGGGGACAGTGAGCGCTGCCGGGGGGGGCACAGGTGACCCCCCATCCCCCCGCAGCGGTGACACCCTTGGGGACACCACGTACCGATGTCCCCAGGGCATCCCAGTGTCCCCAGTGTCCCCAGTGTCCCCTGTCACCCACCTGCCGTCCCTGTCGGCCAGCCCGGGCTCGGCCCCGCGCCGCAGGAGCTGGGCACAAACGGCCGCGTGGTTCCCCCGCGCCGCCAGCATCAGCGGGGTCTGGCCGTGCTGGGGGGACACGCGGGGTGACCTCGCTGTCCCCCGCCAGCCCCCGCTGTCCCCCTGTCCCCACTCACAGTGTCGGGGGTGTCCAGCGGGGCCTCGTGGTCGCAGAGCAGGAGGACACTGGAGGCGCAGCCCGAGGAGGCTGCAGGGGTTGGTGTCACTGCCGGGCTCTGGGGGACCTCTGGTGTCCCCCGCGTCCCAGGGTGTCCCCGGGTCCCCCCCCTCACCGGCCCAGTGCAGCGGTGTCCGGTTCTGCCCATCCACGTGGCGCTCGTTGGCTCCGTGCTGGGGGGACAGCGGGAAGGGACCCCCGGGATGGGAACGGTGCTGGACCCCCATCCCAGCCCTGTTCCCATCCTCACCTCCATCCTCATCCTCCTCTGCATCCCCATCCGTGTCCTTATTCCTGTCTCTATCCTGAGCTCCATCCCTGTTTTCACCCCCAGCTCTGTCCCATTCCCATTCCCATTCCCATTCCCATTCCCATTCCCATTCCCATTCCCATTCCCACTCCTATTCCCACTCCCATTCCCATTTCCATTCCCGTCCCGCTCCGTACCTGCAGCAGCACCTTCACGCACTGGGGCTGGCAGGCGATGGTGGCCAAGTGCAGGGCGGTGCTGCCTGTGGGGACAGGACGGACGCTGGGGACATCCCGGGGGACAACCGCTCCCCTAAGGGACACCCCCGGGGGACACCCCTCCTTGGGGACACTTCCCAGGCTGCTCCCGGGGATCCCTGCCTTGGGGTGCAGCTCTGGGCTCCTCCAGAGGTGACACAGGGACCTGGCTGGCTGTGTCCCAGGTGTCCCCAAGGTGTCCCAGGTGTCCCCAGGTGTCCCCAGGTGTCCCCACCTACCGTCATCGTTGGTCTCGTTGGCGGGGGCCCCGTGCTCCAGCAGCAGCGTCAGGCACTCGGTGAGACCCTGGGCCGCGGCCAGGTGGAGCCTGGGGGGGCGAGAGGTGGCCGTGAGCCGTGCGGCCCCCCCGGGACCCCCCCGTGTCCCCCCTCGGTGACATACGCGGACTGTCCCCTGGCGTTGAGCTTGGCGGGGCGGGCGGCCTTGCGGGCGGCCAGGGCGGCCACCCGGGCCACGTCCCCGCGAGTCACCGCGTCCAGGAGCTTCTGGTCCCGCCGCGTCCAGCTCTCCATCTGCGGGGGTGGGACCCCACATCCAGCTCGGGACCCCCAGCCCGGGACAGGACCCCCCCCCCCGCCCCCAGCGTGGCTCCCCTCACGCATCTCCTGCCTCAGTTTCCCCGCTCCGTGAGGGATCCCGGAGCCCCGCGGAGCCGGGAGGGGCGGAGAGGCCGCAGCGTGTCCCGGCCTGTGCCCGCCCGGCTGGTTTGGCGAGTGCCACCGAGCCGGGCTGGGCTCCAGCGTGGCACCGGGCGGGGGTGGCACCTGCACCGGGGACTGGGATTGGGACCGGGGACCTCCACCGGGAGCAGGGACAGAGACCCGGGTCTGGGAACGGGAACCGGGACTGGGAGCCGGGATGGGCGGCGGCACCGGCAGTGGGGCCAGGGCTGGGGGCGAGCCCGTGGGAGCTGGGGGCTGCATTGGGGTCAGGATCGGGGATGAATCCGGGATGGAGGCTGGGAGTGAGGCTCAGAGTGCGGGTGCCATCGGGACCAGCATCAGAACCGGGATCGGGATTGGGATTGCAGCCGGCACGGGGCCCCCGTTCCCTCCCGGGACTCACCGTCACTTGCGAGCTGGAGCAGGAGAATATCCTCTTCATGGCCGGGACCCCCGGCGACCCCCGCGGGAGCTTCCGGACCCCCGCCCCCTTCGCTCTCGGCCCCCCGACACCCCCTCGCTGCGGGACCCCCGGGAGCCGCCGCTCCGGGGCCGCGTCCTCGGCCCGCCCCGCCCCGCGCCCGGTCCCGCACCGGGCTCCGGCACCGCCCCGGGAACGGCTCCGCCCTGCAGGTGCGCCCCAAACCCGGCCCCATCGCCCCCCGGCCGAGACCCCCCGGCTGAGACCCTCCCCCTCTCCCCACCGGCTGAGATCCCGCAGGTTCCGTGCGGGGCTGAGACCCCCGGCTGAGCCCCCCCGCACTCACTGCCCTGATGAGACGCCCCCGCCCCGGCTGCTCCGCGCCTCCCCCAGCCCCACCCCCTTCGTTTTGGCTCCAAACTCTTCATTTTCACCATTTTCCAAATGTTTTATATTTTTCTTTTTTTTTTTTTTTTCTTGTCCTTTGTTTTTGTTTTTTACAGTTAATCCGCGGGGACCCCGGCCCTCCCCGCCCCACCCTTGGGCAGCCCCCGACACCGGGGAGGGGGTCACTGTCACCGCTGACCCAGGAACGGGAGGTTCCCCCCCTCCCCGGGGCCACCTCCCGCACCCCAAAACATCCAAATAAATAAATAAATCCCAGCAGGAAGAGGAGGAACGCGATGTCACCCCCGCCCCCCCTGGGCTGGAGCAGGGGAGGGGGCCACTGGACCCCCCCCCGTTCCCATAAGGCTCCCGTGGGAATAGCAGCGTCCCCATCCCGCCTTTCCCATCGCTCCCCACAGCTGGATCCAGCCCCCGGCGCGTCCTGGGGGGAATTGTGGGGTGCTGAGGGGGCTGCGGGGGTCCCTAACTGTCCCCATCGCCCTCCTTCAGCTCCTGGCTGTTCTCTGCCTCCTCGGGAATATCCTGCATCCTCAGGAAATCTACGGAAAAACTCCAGGTTAACCCCCGCCCCCAAATAAAATCGGGACCCCAGGGTAGGATCTGCCCCCTCCCCAAAACGGGGACCCACCTCGGGGGCTGGCGGGGGGGGAGTGGCGGCTCCCCAAGCCCCCCTCGTCCTCCAGGAGCACGTCCAGGGTGTCCTCGCCCTCCCGCAGCCGCTCGGGATCGGCGCCCCGGAATTCCAGCTCATCTCGGGGGCCGGGGAAGGCGGGGGCGTGGAACGGGAGGCCGCCGGGGGAGCTGGGGTGGCTCAGCTGCCGGGTGGGAGCAGAGGAGGGAGAGGGGGGTCAGCCCCGAGCCCCTGCGCCCCCCACCCTCGGGGGGCTGTGGCCGGGCACAGCTCGTGTCACACAGCACCCCATCCCTCACCCGCAGCTCCCCCCGGTGCCCCCGGTGCCCACCTGCGGGGGGGTGAAGCTCAGGTACAGCGCGTCCCCGGCCGGGAGGCTCCTGCGCCGGGGCTCGGCCGCTCTCCGGCCCCGCGGCCCGGCCGGAGCCCCCCGCGCCTCCTGCAGCTCCCGCTCCAGCCGGGACCGCTCCCGCTCGCTGTCCCGCAGCCGCGACTCCAGCGCCGCCGCCTCCTGCGCCCGCTCCTGGCACAGCTGCCGGCAGCGGCTCAGCTCCTCCTGCACCAGCCCGTGCTGCCGCTGCAGCAGCGCCAGCTCCGCCCCGGGACCCGGCTCCGAGCCCCCGCTCACCGGCACGGCCGGCTGCGACCCCCGGCGGGGCCGCGGCCGCTGCAGCCCCTCCGGCAGCTGCAGCTCCAGCAGCACCTCCTGATGGGTCAGCTGGACCTGCGGGGGCAGCGGGGGGCACGGAGGGAAAGGGGGCAGAGAGGGGGGAGTGAGAAGAACGTTGGGAATGGGAAAGGGGACAAAGGGCGAGAAGGTGGGAGAAAGGGGGCAGGGAACGGGTATGGGCAGGGGGCACCTCCTCATCCTCCCTCCCCGTTCCCCTGCCCCACCTGCAGCCGCAGCAGGAGCCCGTACAGGTTCACCAGGCGCTGGTTGATCTCCTGCGGGGGACAGGATTTGAGTGAACCCCGAGTGCCACGGGGCAGGGGGGCACCATGGTGTGGGCAGCACCCCCAGACCCCAAAACCCGTCCCTCACCTCCTGGGATCCCCTCGGCGGGACCTGGTTCCCATTCCCGTCCTGCGGAGAGAGTGCGGTGACACCGAGGGTCCCAGCACGGGCTGGGGGTCCCCGGCTGTCCCCCCGTGCCCCCTCCCCAGCTCACCCGCTGCCCGGAGTCCGGATCCGCCCGGAATTCCAAGGAGCCGTTGATGCTGCCGGAGTCTCCGTCTGCAGGGGAAGGCTGGGTAAGCCCCGAGGGGTCCCGGGGGTCCCCCCACCCCAGCACTCCCCTCCCCATGTCCCCCCTTACTGCTGGCACTGGGGCTGGGGCAGCTCTCAGCCTCGGGGGGATTGTTCTGGTTCTGGTTCTGGTTCTGGTTCTGGTCCCGATCCCGGCTGCATCCCGTGAAAATCTCCTTCAGGCACTCCACTGTGGAGGGAAGGGCAGCGTGAGCCCCACGCCCCTGCCTCAGTTTCCCCATCCTGGAGTATCCCAGAACATCCTGGGGCACCCTGGAGTATCCGTCCCAGCCCTTCCCAGCCCGGATCAGCCGTTCCCGGAGCTCCCGTACCTTCCCGGATGGCGTCGTGCAGCAGCACGTCCCCGCGGGGGCCCCGGCCGGGGTCCCCAGGAAAGGGGGTCCCACGGGGGGCCGGGGGGGGCTCGGAGCAGCCGCTGCCCAGCGCCAGCATGTCCGCAAAAATCCCGACCTTGTCCTCCAGCAGCGCCGCGATCTGACGGTCGTGCTGCTCCATCCGCTCTGGAGAGGGGCAGGGGGAATTGGGGGTCAGCAGGGGTGGGATGGGATGGGATGGGATGGGATCCATGGGATGGGATGGGATGGGATGGGATGGGATGGGATCCAGGGGATGGGATGGGATGGGATGGGATGGGGTGGGGTGGGATGG